CACTGTCCCGTCCGGGGGGGTGCGAGGGGAGGAAGGGGGGCAGGCTGGTGGTGAGCCCCCCAGCACTGCCCAGACCCCATCGGGGCGCAGTGCCACCCATGGGGGGCTGGACAGATAGACAGCCTGGGCTGACACCGGGGGGAAAGCAGGGGACTCAGCCCTTCACACCATCACTCGCCCCTGCTCGAGCCAGACCCCATGCCCAGTGGCCACGGTCCCCAAATTGATCTTAAGCACCCCAAAACACCCCAGATGGCATCTTGACCCGCCCCACAGCAAGAGCACCAGGCTCAGCTCTCCATGTGGGACCAGACTCCATCCCCCCCTCCAGAGGGGGGGCAAGGGAGGGCCCTGGGGAGGGGGTGATGTGGGGGGATCCCTGCCCTGAGTGAGTTTGTGCTGACCCACCACCCAAACCCCCCTTGCTGGTACGGGGGGCTAAGCGCTGGCCCAGGGCTGGGTGCTTTCAGGGTGCTGCTGAGTGACCCCGAGCAGGTGCTGGGTCCGGAGCGGTCTCAGCGACGTCACCCCCCAGGTCCTCGCTCCGGCACATTCCCGAAGCAGCAGGCACCCAACCAAAATAGCCTCCCGAGCTCATATGCATGGGACATGGGTGTTATTTATAGCCGGGGAGGCACCCTGTTAACCCTTCTTGTGCCAGGCGTACAGAGCAAGGCTGGACGGGGACCCTGCCTGGGGCAGCCCCAGTCCCTCCTTGGTCCCTATTACCCCAAAAGCAGGACAAGGTCCCCAGGACACCCTGGGGTGCTGCAGGCTCTGCCCTGTCTCCTTGGCATCCCCCTTGGCCTGGCAGTACTTTAGGGAGCAGAAAGCCCAGCCCAGCTCCCCAAGCCTTCCCAGAATGAGGAACACCCCAGTTCACCCCAAGACCTCCACCGCAGCTCCTCGCCTCCCGGGCAGGCGGTGGGCCAGGGCAGGGAGCCCTGGGGCCACGCACAAACCCATGCCAGCTGGAGAGGACATTCTGACCCAGAGGGCCTGTGCTGGGGGGACCCCCTCGGTGGGGTCGCCCGTGCCAGGGCAGCACCCCCTCCTCCCCAGAACC